TTAGAGAAATATGAGTTTGGGAGAGACAGCGTCATCTGCCTTGGACATCGGTTGTCCGTTGCAGGTCTAGAGCCCAAGGCAACCAAAGTTGAGGTTATCCGCAAATGGCCTCAACCAGCAAATGTCGGAGAGTTGCGTTCTTTTATTGGTCTCGCGTTATACTAACATAAGTTTGTGCCCAAATTCTTTATCATCGTCGGGCCGTTGTCCAAATTGACAAGCAAGAACGTGTCTTATACGTGGGATGGGGAATACACAACCGCCTTCCAAGCATTGAAGGCGGCTTTGGTGAGTCATCTCGTGCTCCGTATTGCAGATCCCAAACTTACATTCGTACTAACTACGGATGCAAGCGTGTATGGGATCGGTGAAGTGTTGCAGCAAGATGATGGTGGCGACTTACGTCTGCTTGAATATTACAGCAAGCGCATGCCCAGTCACAAGGTAGCTGCCTTCGCTTACATGCAAGAGATCCATGCTTTGAGAGAGGCATTAGATCGTTGGAAACACTACCTCTTGGGTCGCCATTTCAAAGTGTTCTCAGACCACAAGACTTTGAAATGGACCCAGACACAAATTAATCCATCAACTACATTGCCCCGCTGACTGTATGAGATTGATGTGTATGATTTTGAACTTGAGCACAAAAAAGGTTGTTACAATCGCGTTGTGGATGCTTTGTCTCGCCACCCTGAGTACATGACTTGCCTTGTGGGCTCCTATGATCTCCGTAAGAATTTGAAGGAGGAACTAGTTGAGCATACTACCAAGGACCCGAAACTCAGTCCCATCCTTGAGCAGATCCAAGCTGACCCTAGCAGTTAGGCTGATTTCCACGAGTGTAAAGGTTTGCTCTTTCGACGTTACGGGAAGTAGGACCGATTGTGTGTACCCAACCATAAGCCTATCCGTACTCACTTCGTGGACTTGGTTCATGGCCGGAGTGGACACTTCGGTTTTGAGAAGACACGCGGAAGCCTATTGTAAAAGTTTGTATGGCCTGGGATGAAAGGATTTGTCAATACATCAAACCGTCTCAGCAAGAGCCGTATGGGTTGTTGCATCCTCTTCCTATTCCTGATGGCCCGGGTGAGTCTCTTTCCATCGACTTCACAGACATGGGAAAAAAAAGCAGGAACGGATATTCACAAGTAATGGTGATCGTTGACCGCTTTTCAAAATTTTTGAACTTGATCCCATTGCCACCTCACGCTCCAACTCACCTTGTGATCGAGGAGTTTCACAATAAGTACATTCTGCAATGTGGGCCCCCGAAGACTCTTGTGAGTGACTGGGACACTAGGTTCATAAGTGCAGATTGGAAGGACTTCACCTCCCAGATCTATGACATCAAACTCAAGATGACGTCTGGTCGACATCCCAAAGCCAATGGATTGGCCGAGGAGATCAACCAGACTGCGATCCAACTTCTTTGAGCTCTAATTGTGCCTGATCAGAACTCTTGGGATGAGGAATTGCCGATTGTGCAGGGATTGTACAACAACGTCATACACTCCTCCACCGGGATGACACCTAATCAGTTGCACTTCGGGTGGCAAATTCGCAATCCCCTGGCCTTTCTAATTCCTGACCCGCCACCTGGCCTTTCTAATTCCTGACCCGCCACCTGGCCTAACACCTGGCCAGCCAGGCTGTAGCGCTAAGTTTGATCGCTTGCTCAAAGTTGCTGTTGCAGCTATGGAAAGGCGACGCAGTGCCATGATTAAGCATGTTAACGAAAAGTGCCAGCCAGAACCTTTCACAGCGGGAAGCTATGTCTGGGTCAAAATGTCAGAGTTTTCTGAAGAAGGTGTATCACGAAAGCTTCTTCCTCAGTATTACGGTCCGTGGAAGGTATTGAACCAGGCAGAGGAGGATTCATTCGGTCCTTTTTTACACGATTGACATGCCTACTCATGTGCGCACGTACTCAGTCTTTCACGCGTCAAATTTGTTTCCATATGTTCCACCTAAAACTTTTCAGTATTGAGAATCGATGATTCCTCGCGTAGTCAATGGAGATCAAGATATTGATAATTTTTTTTAGCATAGTGGAAAAGGGAAAAAACAGACAATACAAAGTACATTTTCTATATCAGCCCTGGATTGCTAAGAAAGACTTGCTGTAGAGTGCCATGCGAGTCGTCAATGCATATGAACGACTGATTGTCTCCAAACAACAACCTAAATTCGCCGCTACCCTCACTCCTACGGCACATACCCAATCTCTCTTTGCCATTTACTCTTATGATGCGTTATGCAGGGACTCTGAGTAAGGGACGTCGCTCTTGAGGGGGGGGTAGTGTAATGACCCGCTATAACACAGAGTGAGAACATTGCTGATTTTTTAGTTATGCCGATGGAATGGATGCCTTGTTGAGATTCCCGCATTTTGTTGAGTTTCCTAAGTCTGTGTGTGAGTGTGCTTGGTGACCTGCGTGCCTGTCTCAGTGTTTGTCGACATGACTGTATGTGACCCGCAAGGGTACTTGCTTGTTTGGGAGGCCCGGAGGGCCGGTACTTACTTGTGGCCGTGACATTGAGGGTTGCAACAGGGAAAACACTCTCGTGGCGGAGCCAGAGGCCCGTGACACGTGGAGCAGCGAAAAAACACTCAAGTAGCAGGCAGGCCGGTACCACACCCAGTGGAAGTAGATGTGTCGAGTACTCGAGGCCGAGCAGAAGTAGACAAAGTTGGCATTTTTAGAGTCCTAGTAGTGGTAGGCTAGGCCTAGGCAGGTACTTGTCCATCCAGTGTGAGTCTAGGGCCTGTACGGGCAATATTAGAGTCTGCAATGATGTTTCCCTTCGAAAGGAAGGAGGTACCAGTTGCTTGGGAGGCCGAGCGGCCTGAAAGTCACCGCCCAGGAGGCAGGTAGGCCGCTATTTCTTAAGGCTGAGCGAAGAGCCCAGCCTCATTGTTGAGTGTCCAAGTTTGGTGACACGCTGCTGGAGCGCTGGCTGGAGGAGCGCTGGCTACTACAGCGTTGCTCGGAGGAAGAAGCTCGGGAGCTTCCACCTTGGCTATGCTGGAGCTCTACTAGTTGGAGGAGGAGGGAGAAGAGGAACAAGGAGGAGAGTGGCGAGGTACCTACCTGGCTATGGTGGACACTATCTTCATCACCTTGTTAGGCGCTGCATCTGAAAGGCCCTAGTTGGGGTAGTGCCGCATCAAAGAAGTTCGGGACACAGTCAGGCATGGCGGCTGAATGGGCAGCGACATAGCTGCCTGGTGTTGACCTTGGATAAGAGGGCAGCGACATAGCTGATTTGGGTTGTCCTTTGGACAGGAGGGTAGAACCCTCACTACTACGCCATAGCCTCGACCTACATGAAGAGGAAGAGGAAGGGTGGCCATGGCTGTGGTGGACCTCATGTTGTGCGTGTAGTAGAAGAGGTATTGAAACATTGATTCTGGTTCATCTATTCAACATCATTATTTTTATTTCTCGTTTGAATACGAGGAGAGGAGGTAAGGAGGAGGAGAGTGGTTGGTGAAGGAGAAGAGCATTGCCATTGGCATATGCTGAAGTACATCTTCTTCTTCGTTCTTTCTTCTTCTTCTTTCCTTCTCTCTCCTCTCAAGTTCATTCATTTCTTTTTGCAATTGGAAGACATTGTTCTTTATGATGAATGTATACTTCGAAATTGGCCAGGATCGTAAAATTTTTGTTTTTGTATTTATTTATTTATTTATTTGTAATTTATTCGCGAACATATCGTTTTACTTTCACTGATGGAATATCATGAGGTGCAAAAAACAATTGCACTTACGGTTCTTGGACAAGCATTACCCTTCCACTTTTTTTGTGACTGCTTGGTGGTTATAGGCTTACGTTTTCTTTTGAATTTTCACTCACGATTTGAAATTTGTTCAGCATATGGTCGTCTCGTTGTTTTCATCGTCGAAGTGGCTTTATATTTCAATCTCGATTCCTCTAGCCAAGTTCTTTTGATCTTTATTTTTTTTTTGTCGACGTCTTTTGACGATATTTAAGAGCAAAGTTCACCGAACGTGTTATCTTTGTACAGGTCCTTGGGTGTTTTAGTTACTACTATTGAATTTAATACTGTAGAAGGTCGTCTGCTCTTATATATTCAATATTCATTTATTTATTCATCTGTGGTAATAACCTTTGATTTTCCAATATTTTCTGTCTAAGGTTTCCAAAAAATCAAGGAAGATTTTGAGCACTGCGTTGTCTTTACAGTTTTTGACAAAGGCCAGGAATGTCGAACGTGTTATCTTCCAAGGGTATTCTAATAGTATGAGCTCCATACAATATAGTTCCATTACGGCGGGTAGATTCTTCATGTCATACGTATTTACTACCATTCTATGTAGGGTGTCGATGATTGTTAGTACTTTGGTGTTCACGAAACTGACACTCCTGAAATGACGGATAGACCGAAGAGAGAGAGAGCTTAACAACCCCTCCCGGAGCGTAGCTTAATTCTTGAGTTTATGCGTACGTTTAAGGAGGGGTTCGTGATCCATTTTTGTTATTTTGTTTCCAAATAATTCCATTCTATGGTTTGCGTAGGTGATGTGGATTCCAACTTCAGCGATGAGTGGTAACATTTGTCGTATGAATTTATGCATGCCATCTCCCTTGTGTTTTTTTTTTTTTTTTGCAATTATTATAATCATTATTTTGATTTTTAATTGTTATAATCATTACAGTCTGTTATACGTGGTGCAGTTTTTCATTTGCCCCATGTTAACGAGTAGCTCTACTCTCGATAGTATACTATGTATATATGCCCATTTTCCCCCAATAGTAAGACAATTCGTCGACTTTGGCCGTTCTACCTTCCCGATATGTCCTAGCCGCTTGACAACATGGATGATGAGTCCTCCTCATCGTCGCTGGAATCCGTGTCATCATCTTCGTTGTCTTCATAGCTTGAGGCGTCGTGCTTGATGTCTTCCGGGTTGATTTGTGTTTCGAGGTCAGAATTATGCATGCAATCCCTCCCTTCATATGTTACCGGTCCAGGAACTCTACGCAGGGTGGTGATGGCTTGAGGTTTGTCTTTGTACTTGATGTTATTAATCTTGCACAGTTCCTTCAGATCCGTGTAATGAAGCCGGAGGAGTTGTGAGTCTGACAATGGCTCATATCTAAATCAATGCTCCTCTTCGTCTTTGCTGTGCTGTTCGCTGCATTTGGTCGTCCGATCTTTGTTCTCCCTCTCTTTGGGTGCGGTGGTACTGGACGACGTGGCACACTCCTGCTGAAGTGTACTGACACTGGTGTACATATCATCCTCGGACCATGGAAATGAACAGGGTTAACTGTGGATGACACGTGAGGTGTGAACATTTTGGTTGGCTCGTTGATCTTAGTGAGTGCACGCTTTACAAGGGCGAGATCATGCTTCATCAGTTCGATCTCGTTAACATCACGCCGTACCTCTGACACCATCTTCTCAACCTTACCTTCCTCCGTGCTTGCATTATCTGCTCCGCCGGTCCCTATTTGCTAATTCCCTGTCTTACTTGTCTCGCCTCCCATGGTCTTTGGTAGTGCAGTTTCCAATGCCTTGTCGATCATTGCCTTCAACTTCGATGCTGTCACTAGTTTTGTTGTCTTCTCTTCTTTTGGTCCTGTTTTCTTCTCATTTGCGATCTTGTTAGTGTCCACCTTCTCCGCCTGTGCGTGCTTCTTAGTGCAGCCAGCTTCGTTGTCAGTTGCTCGACGGTCTTCTTCATCTTCTCCGCTTCAGGTCTAAGTGCGAAGATCTCCTCCTTGAGATCGGCAGTGAACCATGCTTTATTCCCTGGTGGTGGAGAGTCATTTTCTCTTTGTTCCCACTGTTGTCGTCTAAATCTCCTAGGTGACTCAGATTCCGCTCTTCTCTTCCTTACTGACACCGATCTTGATTTGTCTCCGATCTCTTGGTGTCCTGGATCTTCCCCGCTTAATTCGCTTCCTTCCTAGCGTCGTTGATGGCAATGATGATGAGTGTCCTCGCCTTCGTCTCACCGACGATGAATGAGAACACGCCATCTTCCCTAAAGTATTCAGTACCTTGGGTGTCGTTCCTCCACAGGACGATGCCACATGGAACACTTACCAGATGATAACAACCAAATGAAAAATAGCGTATAATACATTGAGTGACTCCAAATTGCAAAGAGAAACGTAGCAATGAATATCAACGAGAATACAACTGTCCATCTGACAACAAATCCATCCAAGATAAGATCAAGGAGCGATAAGTCCAACAAGGCACCAAAAGTATAGGATGGAATCGATCTCCATCGTGTAAATCAACTCCAGTATTAACGCCGAAAGTAAATCGCGGACACAACTCCGCATAAATGCAACGACTGCAACCACTAAGACGAACGTTAGTAGGACAAAATCCACGATAAAACAGAGTATTGTATGGTATACGAGATACCAACCTTGAATCAATGCCGATCTTCATGGGTGCTTCCCGCGAGTTCAAAGTACCGTGCTTTGATATACACACTTGCAATATTGGACGACACGTGCGAGGCTTTACTTTCACAGAATACACATCCTGTCCATGGCATGCGGTTACCCTTCTACCTCTCTGCTCAGGTAATCCTTTCAACCATTATCCATAGTATATATACCTTTGGTCTGAATACTTCCTTGTCTGACTTCCCCAGTCCTTGCAGTCAGTCTCCTCTCATCATCGTGTGCTCGTTGCCGCTCCTGCCTTCTACCGTCCCGAATTCGCCCTCGATGAGTATTTCGAGTATTGGATTCCGGCTATTCCGTGCTCCTCTCTTGCTTTGTCGTTCGATTTTCATCTGGTCGCCAAATCCTTCGACAATTCATCCTCCAAAAGGTTATGCGTTGATATATCTACTGGAGTTTTCAGGTGAGTTGTCCGGTTTCCTCATATTGACTTCCGTTCTCGTGAAATTCATCTTTAGGTTTTCCACTCTTTTTCTTTTGTTGCTGTATAAGTATCCAGGGTTCGGGATATGTGTCGTTGTAAATCCTTCGGTGGAAATATTACGAAGTAAAACAAATTCATTTTTTGCCTTGTTTTTGTTTTTATTTTTGTATTTGTATTTGTTTTTGTTTTTATATTTACTTATTTGTATTTATTAGCGAACATATCGTTACTTTCACTGATGGAATATCATGAGGTGCAGAAAACGACTGCACTTACGGTTCTTGGACAAGCATTACCCTTCCGCTCCTTTTGTGATTGCTTGGTGGTTATATCCCTAGGTTTTCTTTCGAATTTTCATTCGCAATTTGGAATTTATTCGGCATATGGTCGTCTCGTTGTTTTCATCGTCGAAGTGGCTTTATATTTCAATCTCGATTCCTCTAGCCAAGTTCTTTCGATCTTCATTTTCCTTTTGTCGATGGCTTTCGACGATTTTTAAGAGCAAAGTTTAACGAACGTGTTATCTTTGTACGCGTCCTCGGGTGTTTTAATGTCTGGTATTGAATTTAATACGGTAGAAGGTCGTCTGCTGTTATATATTCAATATTCATTTATTTATTCATCTGTGGTAATTACCTTTGCTTTTCAAATGTTTTCTGTCTTACGTTTCCAGAAAATCAAGGAAGATTTTGAGCACTGCGTTGTCTTGATAGTTTCTGACAAAGGCCAGGACTGCCGAACGTCTTATCTTCCAAGCGTATTCTATTGGTCTGAGCTCCATACAATATAGTTCCATTACGGCGGGTAGATCCTTCACGTCATACGTATTTACTACCATTCTATGTAGGGTGCCGATGATTTTTAGTGCTTTGGTGCTCACGGGACTGACACTCCTGAAATGATGGATAGACTGAAGAGAGAGAGAGAGAGAGAGAGAGAGAGAGAGAGAGAGAGAGAGAGAGAGAGAGAGAGAGAGAGAGAGGGGGGCGGCTTGTCTTTTTTTTTTGTCATCGACGTGGCTGGCGTTGTACGTAAGAGGTGATGAACAGGTGGGGCTTTCCGTCCTTACTTCTTTTGCTTTCCCTGTTTTGCTTTGTTTCGCCTTCGCGCTCTGATTCACAGTGTGACAATATATATTTTCCCTCTTTTTAATGGGTATAGGGATAGTTCCTGATGATAGATTCTTTTCAAAAAAGTAGTTTAGGAGTTGAACGTAGCACGATCTGACAAGCGCAAGCCTAAACACGGTCATCATGGAGATGACGGAAGTGATGTCGATGACGGAATGTGAGACGAGTCCGCGATAATGGACGTGATGGATGGCTGGGGGGCTGTCTCTTATACACATCTAGATGTGTATAAGAGACCACACACACACACACACACACACACACACACACACACAGAGAGAGAGAGAGAGAGAGAGAGAGAGAGAGAGAGAGAGAGAGAGAGAGAGAGAAAGAGAGCAGGGAATTTGTTCTTTGCCAGGTTCGGGATATTTTTAGAACACGCTCTTTAGACCATATTCAGCACCACGTAGCCACATGCTAAACAGGGTGATTTCCGAGGGGGGCATTTGTGCAAGTATTCCATCCTCCGCATAAACAAGGGGTAATTTGCTAATTTCGCAATGTGTCTTCGCTCGGACCTGCTCAAGGCTTCGTCGCTCTGTTGATTACTGGATAGCATAGTTGCGGCGCACCAGTGCGATGTGCGGTGCGCTCCGGTGCGCAATGTGCAGTGCGCTGTTTTAGCAGCGTGTGCATTGTGTGTTGTATGCAGTGCAGTGCGTTGTCACATGTGCGCCCAGTGCGCTGAAGCAAAAAACAAAACAAGCCCCCCTCCCCTCGTCACCCATTGCAGCCAGGCCACCTACACTAACCACAACCCCCCCCACCCCCTGCAACCAGGGCGCCCTACCCCTGCTTTTCTTTTTCCCCTTTCCTGAGAGGATCCCCTAATTTAGTCCTGTGCTGACTCTGAGAATCTGATTGCTTTGGTAAGTACGGTCATTCGTCTTTGATTTGTTGTTTGTTTGTTTGATTTTTCTTTTGTAAGTATGTTCTCGTTCCCTCGTCCATATCTCCACCTCTCATCATCCTTGTCCATCTTTCCTCCGCTCCTCCATCTTCCTCATGTCCTCGTGCATCTTTCCTCCCCTCCTCCATCTCTCTTCCTCCTCTTCTCCCCCATCTCTCTTCCTCCATTTCTCCTCGCCCATCTCTCTTCCTCCATCTCTTCCTCCATCTCTCCTTCCCCATCTCTCTTCTTCCATCTCTCTTCCTCCATCTCTCCACCTCCACCTCTCTTCCTCCATCTCTTTTCCGTTTACTTCAATGCATTGGCAACATACCCCCCCGCCGCCCCCCCCCCCCCCCCCCCCCCCCCCCCCCCCCACACACACACACGCACAGAGAGAGAGACAGAGAGAGAGAGAGGAGGAGGGGGAGGGGGGTGATAAACGTGTGGCACGACGCGATCTTTGTATCCCGTTTTCTTTTTCGTTGCCGTCTTTCCTCTGTGGGTGTTTGTGGGTGTCGTCATGACGAGTTTGTAACTTCAGATAAGTCGTCATGGCGAGTGTGTGTGTGTGTGTGTGTGTGTGTGTGTGTGTGTGTGAGAGAGAGAGAGAGAGAGAGCTGGTGGGTGCCCACCTTCATGGCTGCCCACTGCCGCTTCCCGCAGCTGCCTGTCGCCGAAGGTGTCTCGCTGTTGCCGTCCGCCGATGGTGTCCCGCCGCGTCCCTCCCTGCCTCCTTCGTCGCCCTCCCCCCGCTGTCGGCGAGAATACCCTTACAAGGGTATCTGCCCTGGTTTTTGCAAGTGACAGAAAATAAGTTTCGTTCAAAATTTGAGTACACCGTGCGAAGTCGCAGTTGCATTTTGATTACGCTGACTGAATGGTTGACTGAAAGTAGAGAGTGTGTGGGCATGCAATTTTGAGGCACGCATGATGATTCTTATTTTGATGTCATAGAGTCGGCGTTCCCGCCGACAAACTTTTGATTTTTTGATTAAAACTAGGAAGGGTTTTTCTCCATGTTGAAGTGACCATGGTGCGTGTGCGCTCGTACGGAAGACGTCATTAGGCAGTAATGCTGCTTCTGGGCGGTGATTGGAGCATGCGAGAGAAAATAGAACGTGAGCAGGGACCTCCGCGCGATGGACGCAGGAGGTTGACGGTCGTGGACTTAGTTGACAGGCCAGGGTGTGGCTTTGGA